GTTTTTAACATTGTAAAATTTTGGGTTGTACATTTTTGTTTGTCTATCACCATATAGATGTCTCCCTTCACCCCTTGTGTCCAACCCCCACCCCCATTGCCCCTGGTAACCACAATACAGTTTTCTCTGTCCATGTGTTGGTTTATATTCCACATATGAGTGAGATCATACGGTGTTTGTCTTTCTCCTTCTGGCTTACTTCACTTAACATAATACCCTCCAGGCCCATCCATGTTGTTGCAAATGGGACAATTTTGTCTTTTTTTTACGGCTGAGTAGTATTCCATTGTATATATATACCACATTTTCTTGATCCAATCATCAGTTGAGGGACACTTAGGTTGCTTCCACTTCTTGGCTATGGTGAATAATGCTGCAATGAACATAGGGGTGCATAAGCCTCTTTGGATTGTTGATTTCAGGTTCGTTGGATAGAGTCTCAGTAGTGGGATGGCTGGATCATAGGGCATCTCTATTTTTAATTCTTTGAGGAATCTCCATACCATTTTCCATAGAGGCTGCACCAGTTTGCATTCCCACCAGCTGTGTATGCGGGTTCCTGTTTCTCCACATCCTCTCCAACATTTGTTGCTTTTTGTCTTGGTGATTAAAGCCATTCTAATGGGCGTGAGGTGATATCTTAGCGTTGTTTTGATTTGCATTTCCCTGACCATGCATCTATTTTTAAATCAAGTGTTCAAATTGATATTTCCAGGTAAGATTTAATATTACAGAGTTTTTACTTAATTTTGATATGTGTGTTCCTTTCTCTTACATTGAAAATCTTAATCCCTAACAGTTAATATTTCTTTCCAGATCTTTTTGCCCTTAGAATATATCCCTGTACAATAAAAAAGATGTGGTAAATATATATAATGGAATACTACACAGCCATAAAACAGAAAAAATCATGCCATTTGTGACAACCTGGATGGACCTTGAGGGTATTATGCTAAGCGAAATAAGTCAGACAAAGACAAACACTGTATGATTTCACTCATATGTGAAAGACAAACAAACAAACACATGGATAAGGAGAACAGATTAGTTGTTAGCAGAGGCGGCAGGGAGGGAGAAAGAGGTAAAGGGGCACATATGCATGGTGATGATTGGTGGTGAACACGGTGCAGTCTATACAGAAACTGATATATAATAATGTATACCTGAAATTACACAATGTTATAAGCCAATATGACCTCAATAATAATAATAATAAAAAAAATCCCCCTACAGAGGTACAATCAGGAAATTGTTTTCAAAAGTCACTTGAAATAACTATTTTCCCTATTTAGTTATGTTACCAATTAGATATATGGTTGAGTTCATTTGTTTATTCCGTTTATCTGTTTATTTTCAATTTTCAGGTTTGTTTTTTTCTTCTTTTAATTTTTGAATATGTAAAGCATTTAAATGGTTCAAAAATCAAAGCTATATGAAATGATGTTGTTGGAGAGGACCTTGTGCCATCTCTTCTCCTTTCCACCCCATCCTCCAGCCCACTTAGGTACGCATCAATGTTAGTTTTTGATTTGTCCTTCCAATGCTTCTTTGGGAAAAAATAAGCAAATAAATGTGTGTTTTATGTTCTGTCCATTGCTTTTATACTTAACAATATATCTGGAAGATTAGGTCAAATGAGGACGTGGGTAACTTCCTCATTATTTCTTATGGTTGCATAGCACTGCATAGCACTACATTATGTGGATGTACTGGATTCAATCAGCCACTTTTAGATGTGTACATATGTACTATATCCAGTCAGATCCCATTAGATAATCACGCTGGTTCTCTCCAGTATCTGGTGGCATTAATTTTCTAGGGCTGCTTCAACAAATTACCACAAACTAGGTGGCTTAAAACAAGAGAAATTTATTTTCTCACAATTCTGGAGTTCAGAAGTCTGAAATCAGGTGGTTGGCAGGGTCGGGCTCCCTCCGGAAGACCTCCGGGGAGAATCCTTCCTTGCTTCTTCCAGCTTCCGGTGGCTGCAAGGGTCACTTCGTTTGTGGCTACATGAGTCCAATCTGTGCCTCCATTTTCACATGGCCTTCTTCTCTACTTATGTCTTCTCTTCTTCTGTATCTTAAAAGGACACTCATTAGATTTAGGGCCCATCTAGATAATCCAAGAGGATCTCACCTTGAGATCCTTAACTTAATTACACCTGCAAAGATCCTTTTCCTAAAAAATGTCACAATCACAGGTTCCGGGAATTAGGACATGGACATAGCTGTTCAACCCGCTACACTGGCTATTATAAATAATGCTGGAAGAAATAATCTTCCACATGTGGTTTTATATTTGTGGAGGTATATCTTCAGAGTAAATCTTTAGGAGTAGGATTTCTGTGTCAAAGGGCAAATAATATGTAATTTTGCCAAACTCCCCTCCATAAGAGTTGTACTATTTTACACTCCTATCTGCTATGTTTTTCTATAGCTTTGCTACCAGTGTGTTGTCAAATCTTTTTTGGGGTTTGTTTTTGCTAATTCAAATGGTATTTCAGGGTAGTTTTAATTTGCATTGCAAGTTTTTAACTTGATTTCATTATCTTGATTTATTAATGAAAATGACATTTATTCAATAGCACTTGTGTCTGCACACTACTTGGCACTCTGAACCTCCAGGGATAAAGAACTAATTACAAAGCAGGTGATGTCTTTAAGGAGTTCACAGACCAGCAGGAATGATTTTGGAGAGCAACAGAAAATGAGAAGAATTCTTATTTCACATTTATATACATGTGGGTGAAAAAGCATCAAAATAATAATTTGTGTTTCTTGCTTTTTTAGAGAAGACATTTTCATCAGTAAGTAAAGGCTAGATACGATGGATGAGATGACTCTATATGCGCGAATGCCTGTTTCCGAGACTACCAAGTTTTGACAGTGTCACGTGTTCACTGTACACTGTCATTTTCTCTTCATTTACAGTTACCCATAATTTAATGATGGGGATACATTCTGAGAAATGCGTTGTTAGGCAATTTCATTGTGCAAACATCATAGAGTATACTTATACAAACCCAGATGGTATAGTCTACTACACACCTAGGCTCTATGGTACTAGTCTTATGGGACCACCACTGTCTATGTGGTTCATCTTTGAGCGAAACATCGTTATGCCGTGCATGACTGTATCTAGTTGCTCTGGACCCCAACTAGATTGGAAGCTTTGGAGGTCAGGGGGCTGCATTTTATATATCTTTTTATCCCCAGGTTTAGATTCATGCCTTGCACATAGTAGGTGCTTAATAAATGACTATGACATGTTGCTTTGTAATAGAAAAATTGAATTCCCTAAGACAAGTGCATCCTATTTTTTTCCAATCAATGTAATGAAAGATATCTCATTCTAAAAGAATGAGGCAGTGAATATTGTGACTTACTGAGTGTAACCAGGTATAGGCTAAGTTGCTGTAACAAGGACGCCCAAAATGCCTTGACTTGAGAGAGGTTATTTCTCTCTTGCAACAGTCTTGGAGGGTTTGTGGCCCTGACTGAGATGTCATCTAGGAACCCAGGCTGGTAGGGCAGTTCTGCCATCATTCTGAGTGTAGGACTTCTATCTCTGGGTCTGAGATTCACCCATGTTTTTGGGTTTATTAAGTAGCCCATTCCTTTCTATTGCTGAGTAATATTTCTTTGTATGAATATACCCCAGTTCTATCAATGCTATTTTGACAATTCTAAAAATAGAGAGAGGCTCTAACAACTATGAGATATTTTTTGCATGCTTGGATTAAATATGTGGGACCGTTTCAGGTTTTTATTCCGTTTTATTTAACAAACTTATTGAGTGCTTCTAGAGGCCATATACTGTGCTTAGTGATGAGGATACAAAACTGTGTAAATCCCTGGCTCTTCCCCCAAGGTATAGTTCAGCTGAATGAGATAACACCCAGTTGTATTGTCCCAATTTGATGGAAACCACATGACTTTAAACAGTCAGTTTAAGTACTTGCTAAAATGTTGTCAAAATTTGCAGCATCAAAGGATCCAGACGCCAGTAAATAACCCTACATATCCCTTCTAAGAAATCTCCAGATCATCTTCCATCTCAAAGTTTTGCCCCAGGTTACAGGCACCGGGCCTTAAAAAGCATACCGGCCTGAGAGTCAGGTCCTTCAGGTTCTATTTCTGGTTCTTGCTACTGTATTGCTATATGGCCTTGCACAACACAGAACGTGCACTTCCTACAAAGCAAGAAGCAAGATCTTGAGGAGCCCTCCGAGTGAGGGACTCCTTGAGGTCAGGTCCCAGGAACCAAGGGTACTGGCTGGACTCCTTACCCAGAGCCTAGGCATGCCCTGCTGCTAAAACTATCCATTTCAGTGTGAAATTGGAGCTCGGATTGTGGTATGGTCAAAGGGATTTCCACTCCCTCCCTGGCTCTCTAATGTGAAACTAGAAACCAAAACTTAAAATGGTTTGCATTTGAAAAGCCTTGAAACTTTCCTTACTGAGATGTCTCTGTGGTTCACGTTGCATTAGAGGGAACTGGGCGCACACACCGCAGAGTGAAGGTACAGGAGCCCTGGGACTCCCGGGGTAGGAGACGGGTGGAAGCTACCCATCCGCTTACGACTCTGCAAAGTCGGTCGCAGCACGTCGCCTCCTCGAGAACTACATTTCCCAGGAGTACTTGCGGCCTACGGCGGGGTGGGGACGGGAGAAATACTCAGAGCAGGCCTACTCACCCCATGGTACCCAAGTCACGCCAGCTTAATTGGAGGGCCCTGTCGCGGTGCATCCCGGGACTGGTAGTACAGCGTGTGCGTGGGGCAAGCTTCTTTGTGATTCGCGGCGCCGGCTCGGCGCTCCGGGCCCGCCCCCGCGAGGCGGGTCGGGACCGCGCGCGCCTGCGCTGCATCCGAGGGGCCGACCGGCACCTCCCGCGGGGCGGGGCGGTCGGTTCCGCGTCAACACCGCCTTCCTGCCCCGCCCCTCGCCGTACCCGGCCCGCCCCTCCTTCCTGGAGCCACAGCTCAGGCGGCGGCGGCGGCGGTAGCCGGGCGGGGGGCGGCGAGCGGCGCTCGCGACACGCGCCGCGCCTGATCCTATGCGCTGACTCGCGCGGCGCAGGCGCCTCCTGCCCCGCCGGCGGGGCCCGGGCTTCCCGCGGCGGGATGTTCTCCCGAAGGAGCCACGGGGATGTGAAGAAGTCTACCCAGAAGGTGCTAGACCCCAAGAAGGACGTGCTGACCCGCCTGAGGCACCTGCGGGCGCTGCTGGGTGAGCCGGGCGCCGGGGTCGGGGGCACCTGCACGGGCGCGGGCCGGCTAGGGGGTCGGGGCTGGGGTCCCGAGGGAGTGGGGGGCCTCAGACCCTCTTCTCCAGGTCCAGGCATTGTTCCCGGGAAAGCGGGCACTGCTCTCTCGTCCGCGAGTGTAAACTTAGCCCAGGTTCTCGCCGGCTAACCTCGAGGCCGGACACAGCCGTGACTATCCCTTCCCCGGCAAACGCTGTACCCCAAGTGGTCCTCATACACGCAGTGAACTGTCACCTCCCCTCCCATTTTTTAATTTTTAATTTTGAGTCGGAGGCCCTAAGTACACTGAAGACCCCAAGTGGTCCCAGCGTAGAATTAATTGAACTGTTATCTCTCCCCCTCCCCCTTTAAATTTTATTTTTGCTTTTGAGTCTGAGTCCCCAAATAGACTGAGACTCCACGTGGTCCCAGGATAAATTTGATTTAACTGTCGTCTCTCTTCCCATGCCCCTCTTTTAAATTTTATTTTTATTTTGGGTCTGGCTGCTTCAGTTTCTTTGTGTCCTTGGTGTGAAGGGGGCTGCTGGTGTCTGCTTGGAGAGAGGGGTGACTTTCCTGGGTTCAAGGAGGCTGCTTCTCCTTTATTGCCAGGATGACTGGGGTGATTTTGTACCTCCTTCCGTTTTTCTGAGACTGCTGGGTGGAGGTTCTGCAGAGTCCAGGTGGGCCTGCAGTTGACCTGCGATGAAGCTCACCCCTGCGGGTGTGAAGTGTCCACAAGGCTCCCTGTCACCTGCTGCGTGGTCTGTAGCTGGTTTGTTAAGCTATGCTTTGTTTTCTATTTTCTTACCTCCCTAGTCTTAACTTTTGTTTAGGATGAAAACACCTTTGCTGTCTATAGACAGACTTGTCTGTGTTTTTGGGGGCTGAGAAAGGGACACCTTATGTTTCTTCTAGATGTCTTTTTTATTCTTATGATGAGCAAAAATCACCTGATTTAGGGCAGATACTCTTTGTCATTTGAGGAAATATGACATAAAAGAATTTATTTTATATGTGAGAATTTTAAATAAAGATCTTGTTCATGAGATTAAAAGTTGCAAATTATTTCTGTTTACACTCTGAAGTACCTCTAAGGAAAGAAACCCACACACCTGGTTTTGTCAAGTGAAGTTATTCACAATCTTAGATTCCTTGAGATTATACTGTTTTGTTCAGTTGGAATGAAATATAAATTAGTTGCTGTTAGGGGGATTCGTTTTCAAGACTTTTGAAAGTGAAATGTGTTCTTGGTAAACTGAACTTTCTACTTCCTGTAGTAATATACCATGCACACACAGGTTGCATTGTGCGGAGTCCTTCGTAGTGACTGATTAACACCTTACCAGGGACGTTTTTGATAAAGGAGAGATGAGCAGTATTTAAAAGCATTTGATACTTGGGAACTTTTTCTGTGGTAGAGAACTTGAACATTTGTTCTGTCCAAGTCTACAGGATTAAGTTGGCTACATTTTATAAAGGCAGAATCACTTAAACCTAGATCAGTTTGGTTTCTTAGAAATACAGAATACATTGTTACCATTCTGAGAAAGTAGTTAGTTTTCAAGGCTGTGTGATTTGGTTTCACTTTAAGGTGTGTGTCTATTTTGAGGAACTTTCTTTTATCATTTCATTTCATATCATTGTGACCTCAGTTTTGTAACATGGAGAGGTTCTTTGATATTTTCTTAGGTCTGTGTTGTTTTTTCTTGATGCATTTGTTTGTAGAATGGCCCAGTTTACTTTGTTTGTTACTGTAATCTTTATCCGTAAGGACTAGATATTGTAAATGTGTCTGAGGAGTTCTAGTCATAATGTTTAAAAACTTTTGCTTACAACTGTGGTTTAAAGACTTTAAAGAAAAATAGTACATTAATGCACTAGTTGCTACCACATTTCACACCCTATTTGTTTGCTACTTTAAGAAAAGTCTAGAGTTAGAAAAAACGGCCTTTTTATCTCAAAAATAGGAATTAGCCAAGATCAAGAAAACTATTTGCAGGAAATGAATAGAAATTATAATTGTATTTTCATTTGTATATATTTATATAATACTCTTGGTTTTCACATCTTTTATCTTTGTGATAATAAAAATATTTTTTTACTTACAAAGATAATACCACTAACCTGGATTTGCAGCCTGCAGCTGCATGACTTTGGGCTAGTTACTTAGCCTTTCTTTGATCTTCAGTTTCTTTGCTTTGTAAAATGGGTATGGTAATGTCTGCTTTGTAAAGGTTATTGTGAGTATGATGTATAAACTACTTCAGCTTGGAGCAGGCATTTAACAGTTTCCTCTCCCATTACTTGTCTCCCATCATTAATAGAATAGGATAAGCATTTTCTTAGGTAGTCCCCCCCTTTCTTATTTTGATAACTGTGATGTATTTGTTCTCTTTTCATAAAAATTAGTCTGTATTTAAGACAGTTGGCTGAGAAACACACAATTAGCTGCGAAGACTAGAGTGTTATTGTCATGGTAATGACTCCAATTAGAACTTGCTTCGCTGCTTTGACTTAGCTATATATTGTTGATTGGGCTGATATTATTAACTTTATTTTACAAAGGGGGAAACTGAGGCACAGACAGGCCTTACAAGGGGCCAAACCAAGTACTAAATGGTTTATATGTACTATGTTAATTAGAGAAAGAACAAAGAGCTGTTAGGTCTTCTGATTTCCAGTTCTCCCTACGCTGTTGACATCATCATTGGTAAAGTAAATGAGTAAACAAAACGAAACAAAAAACCATACTGTATATTGCTATATTGCTCCAGAAAAGATTCCATGTCTAATTAAAAGTTGAGTGGGGCCCCCCTGGTGGCGTAGCGATTAAGTTTGCATGCTCTGCTTTGGTGGCCTGGGGTTCGCTGGTTCAGATCCTACGCTCCGCTCATCAAGCCATGCTGAGGCGGCATCCCACATAGAAGAACTAGAAGGACCCACAACTGGGATACACAACTATGTACTGGGGCTTTGGGGGGAAAAAAAAGAGGAAGATTGGCAACAGATGTTAGCTCAGGGCCAATCTTCCTAAAAAAAACTGAAAAGTTGAGTGCCTACTATGAGTCCCAAAATAGGGTATAGAAATGGCATTGATATAACAAGAAGAATAGATATAAAATAACAGTAAATGTATAGTGTGTTATGTAATTAGTGGCTTATATGGTAGACTCCATTACAGGATTTCAAGGGGCAAGAAAGATCATTAAGAATGCCACAAAGAGGGGCCAGCCCTGTGGCTTAGCTGTTAGGTGCGCGCGTTCCGCTACTGGCGGCCCGGGGTCAGAACCCCGGGCGAGCAACGACGCACCGCTTCTCCGGCCATGCTGAGGCCGCGTCCCACATACAGCAACTAGAAGGATGTGCAACTATAACATAGAACTATCTACTGGGGCTTTGGGGGAAAAAGGAGGAGGATTGGCAATAGATGTTAGCTCAGAGCTGGTCTTCCTCAGCAACAAGAGGAGGATTAGCACAGATGTTAGCTCTGGGCTGATCTTCCTCACACATACACAAAAAAGAATGGCACAAAGATAGGGGCATCTTGAGGGAGGTTTTACTCATGCTGGGCCCTGAAGAATGGTTAGACGAGCTCTGTCCAGTGGAAGTATAATGTGAGCCGCATGTGTAATTGTAAATTTCTAGTAGCCGCATTTAAAAAAGAAAAAAGAAACAGGTAAAATTAATTTAAAATATTTTAGTTAACCCCATATATCTAACATGTATTATCGACAAGTAATCAAAATGAAATATTAATATTTTTACATTATTTTTTCATACCTAATCTTTGAAATCCAGTGTGTGTTGCACACTTACAGCATATCTCAGTTCAGACTAGCTGTATTTCAAGTGCTTAGTAGCCATATGGGGCTAGTGGCTACGTATTGGACAGAGCAGGGTTGGAATTTGGAAGACAGAGGGAGAGGGTAGTTCCGACCAAGGGAAGATGGAAGAGCTGGTGGTGGAACTACACGTGGTAATGATGTGGGAGGGTGAGGAACACCAGCCTGCCTTTTCCTCGTGTCCAGTGGGGTTGTGGTGAGGGTAAGGTTGGGCACTGAGGATAGGGTGCTAGGACCCTGGCCCTGAGGGCATCCACAGTGTCAGATAAGTGGCTAGAATACTGTGTCCACCAGGGGTAGGGACAGGACAGTGAGTTGGAGTGGGGGGTGTGGAGGAGGAGAGGAATGGGGGCCTGACCGGCTACAGCTGAGGAGGGTTGGAGGCCAGATCAGCAAGGACCTTGTTTGCCTGAGTAAGAAGGTCAGATCTTATCCTGCAGGTGAGAGGGCCAGCTTGGAGAATTCTTAGCAGGTCAAGTGATAGGATTTGAGAACTGCCTCTCTGCCAGCAGGACCAGGAAAAATAGATTGAGGCTGATGGGAGGAGTGGCGCTGAAAACAGGAAGACTGCTGAGAAGACTGGCAATGGTGGAGCAGACAAATGACGAGGGTCTGAAATAAGACGCTCCATGAATGGAGAGGAGGGGTGGGATTATAAAGGACCAGTGCAGTAAGAACTAGTGATGCTCTACATGAAGTACTGAAAGCGAGGTTTGGAGACGCTACGCAAGGAGTGATTAATCTGAAGGAGAAGAGGTTTGGGGTCAGAGGCCACAGTGAGGTCAACTCAAATGACACCGAGTTTGGACCAAATATTTGGAACCAGAGAGGAGAAAACAGTCTCTCAAAAATGCTCTATAGACTGATAGAGCAAAATAGAGCATTTTGGTGTATTTCCTTTTGTGCATCTGATGATTTGAGTGGGGGCAAGTTCACTTACAGTTGTAAATGTTGCCTTTTCTTATTAGCATTTCCCCATGTTTCGTTAACCACAAACATTTGTTGAGACTATGTACCATAATTTATGGTACCATTTCTTGGATAAATTATTTTCTTTCTTCCTTGCTCTTTTTCTTTTTCTGATATAAATAATACTGCTGTAAACATCTTTCTCTTTTTTTCTATGAAGCACGTTTTTC